TTTTTTTTTTTTTTTTTTTTTGCCAAAGAACTTGATACAAAACTCAGTTTTCTGAATTTCAAAGAAGGCAACAGTGATTACCCTCCACATTCCTCCAGATTAGGAGAAACGTCCTCGCCCAGGCTGTGCAGAGCCCTCGGGTTCTCTCCTTTCCTTTGCTCCCTCTCAGGCTTTGCCGCCTTCTCTGTATGCCCCCCCCCTTCAGCACCCTAGTCAGCCCTCCCTGGGTCCTCGGCCTGGGCTCTGCACACGGCACTCCTCACCTGCTCCGGCCACCTGGCAGTCTGAGTCCTTGACTTCCTGGTCCAAGGGGACTTCCTGGAAGAGGTGCATGTGAGTTGTACTTTGAAGAATATGGCTGGCAGCCAACATGCTGAGTCTGACTATGTGTCTAGCGCCATTCTGAGCATGTTAATGAGAGGTAAGGGAGAGGAAGGTACCTGAGCGTCAGCATGAGCATGCGGATGGTGCCCGTGAGTGCAGGGAATGGAGCCTGGGAGCCATCGATGAATTTTTAAAGTTTTATTATGAAATTCTCCAGACACATCCCAAAGTAGAAGACGGTGAACCCCCCTATGGCACCTAGTGCTCAGCACTGGAGTTTTGTTTTTGTTTTTTTGTTTTAAATATATCTTTATTGATTTCAGAGAGAGGAAAGGAGAGGGAGAGATAGAAACATCAATGATGAGAGAGTCATTGATCGGCCGCCTCCTGCACACCCCCGACCGGGGATTGAGCCCGCAACCCGGGCATGTGCCCTGACCGGGAATCGAACCCCGATCGCCTGGATCTTAGGTCGACGCTCAACCGCTGAGCCACGCCCGGCTGGGCAGCACTGGAGTTTTTAACTCCAGCAGGCGTGATCTGTCATTCAAGTTGCTGTGTGCTAAAATAAAGTTTTGATGCCTACAAGGACAAATCCTCATTTACATAGAAAATTGTTTTTTCCTTAACAGCTCATTTCCAGGCAACTAAGATTTTACTGTAGTTTTATGAAAATGCACTTTTGTGAAACTCCCCGTTTGTATTTCAGGTTGCTGTTGTCAAAATGAAGAGCACTGAACGAATCTACGCCATGAAGATCCTCAACAAGTGGGAGATGCTTAAAAGAGCAGAGGCAAGTGTGACGCAGAGAGTTGTGCATGAGAACACAGGCCTCCCCAGCCCGGCCTGCCTTCCTTGACAGGAGTGAGCTGCTCCTTGCCATGGAGGTGCCAGCCTCCTCCTGGTACCTGCTCCTCTGCATTGTGCTCATGCATGTCCCCCACAGCCTGCCTGAGTTTCTCGCTCTAGTCTGGGCCAAAGTGTTGACTGTAAGGGTGAAGCAAGGCTGCATGGAAATTTCAGGCATTTCCCTCAGTTCTGCTCCGTAAGCAAAAGGAATGATTGAATTTGGAACCTACTTAAGTACAGAAATATTTGGTTGTGTTTTTTAAAATATATCTTTATTAATTTCAGAGAGAGGAAGGGAAAGGGAAAGAAAGAGAGTTGAAACATCAATGATGAGAGAGTCATTGATCGGCTGCCTCCTGCACGCCCTGCACTGGGGATTGAGCCCACAACCCTGGCCTGTGCCCTGACCAGGAATCGAACCACAGTCTCCTGGATCCTAGGTCAATGCTCAACCGCTGAGTCATGCCAGCCAGTCCAGAAGTGTTTTTATGTTCCCTCTTAGAGGGGGAATGAAGATTGTAATTAAAAGTAGATGACTGTTTCCTTACCTCTGTGTGCATCCCTGTGGCAACTGCTCATGCCTGGCACCCTCCCCCCAGCCCCACACCCAGCCCCTGCTGAGACAGGTGAGGCCACCCAGAGCCCAGGCTTTTTCTCCAGCACCCCTGCTTCTGTCTCCATTCACCACCACCCTCCATTCCTCCACCACCTCAGAGCCAAGAGGCCTTCCTTTCCAAGGATGTGCTTCCCGATCACTGCCAGGCTTTGACCTCTCCGACCTGCCCCAGCATCTGCCCTCATCCTCTTGTGTGACTCCTCTGGCCTGAGTGCCTTGAGTGCCTGGTCCCACCTGGCCCGCTGTCTGTGTGGCTTGTGGGCTGCTGTTCATGCCACAGCTGCTAGGCAAGCCCTTTGGGGGCAGGCCCTGGGGCCCTCCCTTTGGAATCAACTGCCCCTGCTTTTGGAAATTCCTCTGGTTTTTAGCCTCACATCCTATCCTTCTAAACCCTCTTTGTAACTTTAGGTGTCCCTTTTCTCTTTTGTTCTCAAATTCTCATCTCCCCATGGTCGCTGCCGCCTTGGGCAGGTAACAGTACAAGCCACTGTTCCTGTGGGATCGCCCTCCTGAGCTTGGGGTTGTCAGGGCTTTGTGGGTGGGCATTCTCACCCCAGCATCCACCAGGGTCTCATCCACCTGGGTCTCACGCCTGTCATCCTGTTTTCATATCTAAACCACAAGGGCTGTCCTCCCTCCTCACCACTCCCTCCCCTCCTGTGGTGCCCTGCACAAGGTCTCGTGCCCACTTGTTGCTCAATAAGTGCATGTCGATTGACTGTGTAATGATCGATTTTGCAGTCACCTGGGCTCAAGGGTGGGTGGCCCAGGACTCTGCTTCAGCCCGTGTCTTCCCGCAGCCTCGAACTGCCCACAGCCTCTGCCCATCCTCGCTCCGCTGGTCTCTTCTCTGTGCCCTCCCCCCTCACCTCCCGCCCCCTCAGCCCAGCAGCCCTTCCTCATGTGACCACTGCCACTGTGGGGGCGCAGTTCTTCCATGTGAAGATGTAGCTGCTGTTCCGTGAAAGTTTGGGGGAGGTGTTTGGGGGAAAGAAACAGTGGGAGGACATTCCATTCAAGTGTATATTGTCATGGGAGTGATTGGTTTATGAGGGAAGACAACTGAGCCTGTTTAATAGCACTTGTCATGTTAACCTCTGGAGAGTGCGTGTGTGTGTTTAAGTTTTAAAAGTTATAAGAGTCCCAAGGTTAGGAGAGGTGATTCTCTCTATCATGCTAGGTACTGTTTATGCAGATGTCATGGTGAGTATGTAGAGTGGGTATTGCTTGTTTAATTTAAACCTGGTGGCACAAAGCAAGACGTCAGTAAGAGGTGACAGCAGAACAGTTGCAGAGCAGTGTAAGATTAACTCGTAGACCAGGCTGGCCATTCGCTCAGCTTTCTTGGTCATAAAAAAAATAGTAAAAACTGTTGAAACAGAACTGCTGAATAATACATCTCTTTCCTGTGTGGGTTGCCGTGCTGGCACCCAGTTTAAGAGTGGGCTTTGTTGTGAATGTTGGTTGCTGGGGCGGAGTGGCTGCGTTGGAAACAGTGTCCTGGGCCGAGCTGGCCTCTGCCCCTCCCTGGGCCCCGGGTCTGGGTGGCACTGGCCTGGGGGCATGAGGCTCCAGAGCACCTGCACGCGGTGAGCTGACAGTGGGTCATGTGAGTCCTTGTCTGTTCCTGATGAGTAGGATCAGGACACATCTACCTCAGGATTTCTTTTAGAAAGGAAAGCTTTTTAAAGAAGTTCAGGATAGAAAAACGTGTCGAGAGAGAAAGTTCTAGAGGTCCTGATGAGACTCGGGTGAGAGAGCTGGGAGCACACACTCTAGTGCCCCCCACACCAGGCCTCCATCAGGGCACTAGTATTTGTGCAAGTTTCAAATAAAGAATGAAAATCTTACGTTAAATAGGCAATAAAAAGGAAGTTTTGTTATAATTATGCGAAAGACCTGGTTACTTACATTTTTTAAACCTCCCCCTTTGCTCCCCTGAGGTACCCCGTTCACTGCAGTAACTGCTCCTGCCTTCTTTCCTTCTCCTCCCATCTCTCGCTCTCCACTCCCCCCTGGCAGCTGGCAGCTCCTTCTCTGTGTCCACAGGACATTCCTGTTTACTCACTTATGAAATTATGTAGCATTTGTCCTTTCTGACTTATTTCACTGAGCATAACACTCTCTAGGCCCATCCATGCTGTTGCAAATGGCAAGCTTTCGTTCTTTTTCATGGCTGAGTAGTATTCCATCGCACATACCTACCACATCTTCTTTGCTCACGTGTCTATTGATGGGCACTTGAGTTGCTTCCATGTCTTTGCTATTTTAAGTAATGCTGTGGTGAACATAGGGGTGCATATATTGTTTCAAATTAATGATTTTGGGGGTTTTTGGATAAATACTAAGAAGTGGAATCACAGAGTCATATGGCAGCTCTATTTTTAATTTTCTGAGGAATCTCTGTATTGTTTTCCATAGTGGCTGCACCAGTTTGCAATCCCAACAACTGTGTATGAGGGTTCCCTTTTCTCCACATCCTTGCCTGTGGTTATTTCTAAATACAGATGCCACCCGTGTATTAAAGTTTTTTTTAAAAAAACACCCATAGAGGCCAAAAAATAGCCTTCTGCCCACATGCTTCAAGCCATGGGTCTTCATAGTAGAATCCTGTTATGATGTGGGCATCAATGTCCTGCAAATGAGCCACATTCCTTAAAGATAACCCATCAGATCAGTGCTAGGTGTGCGCCCATCCTGCCCACCACAAGGCTGCCAAACTGCAGGCCTGTGACAGAGGGGTAGACCCCCATCTACCCCAGGAGGCTGACCTGGTAAAGAGAGCAGCCGATGCTGGGTGGCAGGGGCCCAGCCGGGAGGCTGTTGCTTACCCCACCCCATGAGCAGGTTGAATCTAGTGTGGGCCATAGAGACAGCAGGTGTGGAGGGTGGGTGCAGGAGCAGGAGGGACAGGTATGCTCTACCTTTCAGCTGGCGCAGGTGTGACTGAGGAGTGGGCATAGCTGCCTGGGTCTGGTTCCAGGTGACCGGGGAGGCCGGGCGCCTGCAGCCTGGAGTACCCGTCTGTTCAGGACTGTGCCCTGCAGGGTAGTTCAGATGGACTCACCTCTTTCCCCCATGCCTTGCAGACCGCGTGTTTCCGGGAGGAGCGGGATGTGCTGGTGAACGGGGACTGCCAGTGGATCACCACCTTGCACTACGCCTTCCAGGACGAGAACTACCTGGTACGTGGGTTGCTTCACAGGTGTTTAAATATCCAACTAGATAAAACTGGAGTTTGATTTGTGTTGTGACTGTCAGGTGGGTTTTTTAAATACACTGTGATGTTCTACGCTTGTTTTCCTAAGTAGCCTGATTATTTTGTTCTCCGGGTTCATTACACTTAAATAAATGGGAGTTTAAACATTTCTGTTTTGAATAAGGATGGGAAGCTGCTGTAGGGCTTGGAATGTTGCAGCCCTGTGCCCTGAGTGGGCGCTTGCCCTCCGAGCTGGGTCTCGTCCTCCCCAGGGAGCGCCCTGGCCTCTGGGCGACCTCCTGACAGCTCTTTGGGCGACTCTTGGTTTCCATGTTCTTGTCCTCTGTTTAGTCTGCTGACTAGATCTGGGGCTCCCTTTCACTGTTGACTAATCAGCATTGACTTGCACAAGTGCGCAGAGCTGAGCATGGATCCTAGTAAAGCAGCGAAAGGGAAAGCAGTCCTTTGGCTCAGGCTCCGAGTGAGTCACGACTCTGTTGCACTTTAATGCTGGAGCTGGCTCCCCAGGTTTGCCTCAGCCTAGAGTTCACACCAGGCCCTCCAGTGGATGGGTCTCGGCCTCACTCCTCTGGCCAGTGCGCAGCTGTCAGTGGCCTCGAGGGCTTCACTGGTCACTGTGGGCAGCCTCAGGGTGAAGACCTGGGCTGTGTTCTCTCTGTGACAGCTGGTTGTGTGTTCTCAGAGATACGTTCGTTTGCTGACAACACGGGGCATAATGTAGGCTGTTACTCATTGTCAAATAATCTTTCAAACGTCAGAGATACGCTTTAGATTCAAGCACCCACAATTAGGTAAGACGGTTTATTTTACTTTTTATTTAGAATTGAAAATTCTCCTGTTTTGACAGAGCGGCAGCTTGTGTTTGTGGAGCACTGGCCTGTGGGTTTTCTTGGTCCTGTTCCGTGACCCAGCGAATTAGGCATTCACGATTTTCACCCTTTTTTAGTGGGGCGTCTGGGGCAAGGAGAGATGTCATGTCAGCTGCCTGAGGTTATTACGCAGAGTCAGGGACTGTGCCAGGACCTGGCCCGGCCTGCCTGATGGTGGTGGTACCCGTGCCCTGGCTCCGCCGACAGCGCAGTCCTGACGCTCCAGGGCCGTCACCACGGGACCCTCACTTCCTCGCCTGGTATTGCTGCTCCCATCACTGTCTCCAGTTCATATCCTGTTTTGATATGAACGGAATGAGGTTTCTGAGGCGTGCTAGGCAACACGGATCTTAGAGAAAAACAACAGTTTTTTGCCTGACAGTTTTCCTGAAATTAGCACAGGGTATAGGCCTCTGAAACGTTAGGCATAACCCACTTACTCTAGTTGGGCCGCTCAGGATTTCCAGCCAGGAAGCCATCTTCTTGGTTTTGGAGTTGCCCAGTTAGAAGTACAGTGAAAATTATGGAGCGGGAAGGCGAGGGCTCTGGCACTTTTCTAGTATGTGAACAGGGGCTGCTACAGCGATCGGCAGCCCAGGCTAGACTGCTCCGCCTGCTGCCCACCAGCGGTGTGTTTAGGCTGGTTCCTGCCCCTCTAAGAAGCAGCAGGTGCCTCCCTGCAGGATAGTTGAGGGGAACGCCGCCCTGGAGGGCTTGTGCCATTAGGCTCCCGCAGGCCACCCTGCACAGCTAGTTCCTGTGGTTTCTATCATGGATTTCTAGCTCTGCACTGCACCAGTAACTGGAAGGATGCTACTTCACTTGGAACCCTGCGTTACGTGACAGAGGAGATAACTGGTCTAGTTCTTATTAAAAAAATGTGTCTGCATGTCCGCCTGTGCTCCCTTGCCGTTCACTTTTCTTATAAACCTATACTCCAGATGCCCATCGGCCACATTGAGCACGGCTGTACTGCGTTTGCTGGCTTCCTTTTAGATTTCTAAGTGGACGTGGAAACCGTGAGGCCTGGCTGGACATGGGCCTGACCCCTTCCTGCTGTTTTCTTTACGGGCCAGAGGCCCTGCCTGTTCGTGCACTTGCTCGCCGCTCACCCCATGTGTGTCCACCAGCAGGCGCTGTGGTCTTCCTCCAGGCGTCTGCCCATGTCTTCATTCTGTCCACCTGTGCCCAGGGCCGTCACCCTCGCCTCCTGCCTGGGCCACATCATGGCTTCCCATCTCCTCTCCAGCCCTGCTCTGTCCCTCCTCCTCTGGTCATTCTTCCCAGGGCAGTCAGAGGAAGTTTCAGCATAAATCAGACTGCAGTTCCCGCCATCGCTGTGGGGTCTGGCCTCACCCTCCCTCCTTCATCGTGCTCCAGCCACAGTCACTATTCCCCATTTCTCCAGCAGCCACATTCGTCCTCTGCTCAGCCTCTGTGCACACGTCCCCTTGTCTGGAACACACTGGCTTCTGCCTGTCACTCAGACCTCCAGTCTGCCCGATGTCTGTGTGCAGCGTTGCCCACCATGCTCTGCCACGCGTGGGCTTCGTTTCTTCCTGGCACCTGTACCTCTGAAGTTGCTGATTGATCTCCGTGCTTGCTATGGTCTGTGTCCCTCTGCTCGATGTCAGTTCCACGGGGAGGGGCCCGTCGTCGGGAGAGGTGCCAACAGGTTCATTACTGAGAGAACCGGCGAGTGAAGGTCCTTCCCGAGTTATCTTTGTAGCAGGAGTTGTGCTGGGAGGTTGGGGGGACAAGACGACTGATAGGCTTCAGCCCTTAAACTGCATTGGGGCTGAGCTCGGAGGCCGGACAGGGGGTGTTCGGTAGAACACCTGTGCGAGGGCAGGGACCTAAGCGCAGGTGTTCTTCCTGCTGAGACGTGCCCTCATGTGGCTCTCCCTTGGGGGCACTGCAGTGTCATGGTTGGGTGGTGTGTCTAGAGTCGCTATGTGGGCCCTCCCTCTGCGCTCCCAGCTGGGTAATGGCCTCGTTTCCTCATTTCTGCTCTGGCTTCATGTCTTCCTCCTTGCCAGGAGGGCCTGGGGGTTGTTTCTAAGTCCTGTAGAACTAGATGGGCCGTTCGTGGTGCTTCCATGTTGGGTCACTAGCATTTAGAGTGCCGCTTCCTCATCACACCCTCCAGTCATCTCCCATTGGCTAAATGTGTCGTTTGTGGGAGCTTGTTCTCTGCCAGGTGCATGGCTTAATGGCTACAGCAGGATTGTGACACGTGGGTGCGTCTGCTGAGGGCAGATCCTGGATTCCATCTATCCAGACTCAAGGATCCTGGGGCTTCTGAGGCTGAAGTTTGGCCCTTGCTTGTCAGATGTAGTGCTGAGTAAACGCTGTGCTCTGTTCTTCTCCTCCGGATCTGCAGTACTTGGTCATGGATTACTACGTGGGTGGTGACTTACTGACCCTGCTCAGCAAGTTTGAAGACAAGCTTCCAGAGGACATGGCGAGATTCTATATCGGCGAGATGGTGCTGGCCATTGATTCCATCCATCAGCTTCACTACGTGCACAGGTAACCAGCTTCCGTACTCCACGGAACCACATACCCCCTCCGGAGTCCCTGAGGCCTCGACTCCGTTCCAGGCTGTCCAGAGAAGTCACGCGCATGGTGCCCTCGTTGATCTCACCAGCGCAGGGCCCCTTACCCCGGGGCGGTCTTTGCTCCACAGCACCTGGCCCCGGGAGGTTCCAGCCCCACTGAGAGCTGAGAGCTTTCAGGAGGCCACTGAACCTGATACTCAGCTGACGCCAGCTCATCCCCCCCCCCGCTGTGTCTCCTCCTCAGCTCCGCTTTTCTGTTTCACGCCGACCCCATAGGGTCGTGGCCTTGAGCACCCCACAAAACTCACAAAAGGATGCTGGAGTTGAGAGGTTTGGAGTGCCGAGTTAGAGGCTTTTGTGTTTTGTGGATCTTTTTTGGTGGAATGTTCTTTGGCTCCCGCTTGTTTGGGATGGAGTAGTTGGCTCTTTTTGTCCCTATCACATGAGGACAGCCCAGCACACTGTCCATTCTGCTGCATGACGGCACTCAGCCCACATCTAGCTCTTAGGAGTTGTGCTGCTGGGACATAATTGTGCTCCTTGTGGTGCACACCCTCCTTTGGTTTTAAAGCTTGTGCTCCCTGCTCACGCTGGTCATAACAGCTTATTCTGCCAGGAAGGGGGGGCAGGTGCTCAGAGTCTGCCCCGCCATCCGCTCCTGCTGTGTTCACAGGTACATGAACAGCAGGTGAGAGTGAGTGCTGGTTAGGGAGGCACACGGGCTCCTCTGTACCTGGGCAGATAGCTCACTTCTCCCCACCTGTATCTGTAAAGTACATTTGCGGTTCTTGGGGGTTTGTTAACCTGCACTTGTGTTGCCCGCGTCTCCACCTGACCCCCTCCATGTGCCACACACTACCCCTCACCTCGTTTCTGTCTTTCCTATTTCTTCGTGGCACCTACCCAGTTGAGGCGGGAGAGAGCTGTCTGCTGTTCCAGCTCACCCACTAGCGAGGCTCTGACCTACCGAGTGTGTTGCATGCAAATGGTTAATTTATGTATTTGTCTTACTAACAGAGACATCAAACCCGACAATGTCCTTTTGGATGTGAATGGTCACATTCGTCTGGCCGACTTTGGATCATGTTTGAAGATGAATGACGATGGGACTGTAGGTATTTTTTTTTTTTTTTAATCTTCATCTGATGATATGTTCATTGACTTTTTAGAGAGAGAGGAAGGGGAAGAGAGAGAGACGATGTGAGAGAGAAACATTGATCAGTTGCCTCCATGCGCCCCACCCAGGGATGGAGCCTGCAACCTTTTGGTGTACCGGACAATGCTCCAATAACTGAGCCATCCGGCCAGGGTGGAACTTAAGGTATTTTTAATGGAGATTTTCTATTTGGTTTTGGGTTTTACTTGCAATTAGAAAGGTCTTAAAATTTCAGTTTGAGGTACAATTAAGGAACCAAGTTTATTAATGTGAATTAAGACAAATCCGTTTAGGAGACAGTTGAAATTTTCGTTTTACATTTAAAACATCTTCATGGTGCTTTATATTTACCAAAGTTACACGTGTACTTTTTGAAGTAGGGGTTGTGGGGTTTACTTGGGTCCCAGGCAGTGGAGAGCAGGCCAGCCCTCCTGCACCAACAGGCAGCTCTTGCGTCACTCTTAACATGCTGTCTGGGCTGGTGGGGTGGACAGGATGGTAGTGGGACAGCCTCATTCTCTCTTGGGAGAGAGAACTTCCTGCCAATCAGATGTTCTCTCTGTGGGTGTTGTAGATCTAGAAACAGGGTCCTCATGCCAGTGGTCCAAGGGCCAGCTAACCCCCACTGCAGATCAGGAGGTGCCCTGACTGGCCATCGCCAGACCCTGGGCTTGGGCTGGGTCAGACCAGTGTCAGAGATGCCCTGACTCCCTCACAGTGAGCTGCCTCAGGGCCCTGAGGACTGTCTGCACTCCTTCCTGTGGCCACTGTCATAGTGTTGCTCTTAGATGTCTGGGAGTCTACACCTAGCATGGGCATGGTGTCTACTTCTCCAGAGGGCAGTAGTCCATGGGAGTGGGGATTACCTCTCCTCCCTACACTGTGCTCCTGGAAGGTGTGGACGTGCACCCAATTACCACCTGGCACCCAGTCTTTCCAGCACTCAGTCTTCCCGCTGCCCACTGGAGCTCCTGCAGCCACCAGGTGGAGGGGTGGCCCTGGCACGTAACAGAGCCAGAGCTCCCTACTGGTTCATGCTGACTGGCTCCGGATACTGTTTTGTCCCTGGGCTCTCAGACGTGACCCAGGGGACAGCTTGGCCCTTCCCTCCCTGGACAGGCCTCCTGAGACATGCAGGCCCTGCTTTCCTGTGGTGACAGTTGCTCTCGCTGCCCGCAGAGGCATCTCCATGCCCAGGCCCTCCCTGCTTGTGGCCGGGACCTGTTCTTGCTGTTCAGGGGCCTTAGCTGCCAGTCCCCTGATGGGAAAGTCTAACCACCCAGAGAACGCTGGACCTGCTTCGACACGTTCCTGTTGAGAGACTGAAGGGTAGGCTGTGGGTGGGCAGCCTTAGCGCCCTCCCACACACCCCCCTGCAGCGTTAGAGATGCTGCAACCTAGAGCCTCTGTTTCACAAGTGCCAGGGGTCTCTGCACATGGAAGCCTGAGAAGGGCTGGCCTGGACACACCTGGTCCGGACCACACCCAGTAGGGTGGAGCACGTGGGATATGGCGCCCCCTTGGGACTTCTCTGCCACTGGGTCTGCAGTGGTTTGGGCATTGAGAGACTGGCAAGCAGGAGTCCCATGCATTCTAACGCTCGCACCCCAGGACTGAGTGGCGAGGGAGTATTCATTTGCTTGGATTTTGAATTACGAGGCTTTTCAGTCATGACTGAGTGAGGAACTTGGCATTGGGGATGTCCTAGGTTTCCCTCAGCATGCCCTCCCCCTCCAGGTCCAGTCGTCAGTGGCTGTGGGCACACCCGACTACATCTCGCCGGAGATTCTGCAGGCCATGGAGGATGGCATGGGCAAGTACGGCCCCGAGTGCGACTGGTGGTCGCTGGGCGTCTGCATGTACGAGATGCTGTATGGAGAAACTCCGTTCTATGCGGAGTCGCTTGTGGAGACCTATGGGAAGATCATGAACCATGAAGTAAGGCTGTGCTTCCACTTTCCCTTGTCCCAGTTCCAAGCCGGGGCAGCCTCGGGGAGGGAGCTCAGTCTGGAAGCTGGGCGGGTCATTGGGGCAGAGAGCATGGGGAGAGCAGGGGTGGCGGTGGGGGAGCGGAGAGGCTGGGAGAACTTGGCCTGGGCTCCTGACTGGGTGTGGGTGGGGCTTCAAGGACGATCCCGTTTGCGGGAGGAGGGAGGAGGGTGATGATACCGAGTTAGCATCCCTGCAGGAGGATTGGGCCTCGGTGCCATGCGGGACCCAGGCGGCTGTGTGGGTCTGTTTCTCCTTGGGACGGTGGGTGGGAAGTACCGTGGGGTAGTTTGACCTGTGGGTCTGGATTTATCACTTAGATCAGTCAATCTGATTCTGAGCCTGTTTCCCAGAAATCAGTGGTCATAAACCATCACACGTCTCATTGTAGGGGTATTTTAAAAAATATGTTTTTATTTCAGGGAGAGGAAGGGAGAGGGAGAAAGAACCATCCATGATGAGAGAGTCATGGATCGGCTGCCTCCTGCACGCCCCCTGCTGGGGATCGAGCCGGTGACCTGGAATCAAACTGACCTCCTGGTTCATGGGTCGATGCTTAACCACTGAGCCACACTGGCCAGGCCGTAGGGGTGTCTTTAGTCCCTTCTTGATCCCATTCTCTCCCTCTTATGTTCCCTGGCCTTTCCCAGCTGTGACCTCGCTTTTCCCTTCATACTTTTTCAAACATTTCTTTCTAATGCCAATTTCACCCTCTACCCTACCTGCTCTTGTGCTCCCATGCTCACACTCTCTCACATACACATACACTCTCGCTCACGTAGACACGCTCCAGAAATGGTTCCATGTGCTGCTGTGTTCCAGCCCTGCCCCTGAAAGGAGCAGATTAACACTAATGTGGGGAGTGGTTTTCTAATGACATAAAGCAAGTTGTACTTTTAACAAACACTTTTTCCAAAGTAGAAATACATCTTTTTATTTATAAATTATTGTATACTTACTATAACAACTTCAGCCCGGCCGGGCATGACTCAGTGGTTGAGCATCGACCTAGGATCCAGGAGATCGTGATTCAGTTCCTGGTCAGGGCACATGCCCAGGTTGTGGGCTCGATCCCCAGTCGGCATGCAGGAGGCAGCCGATCAATGACGACCCTCATCATTGATGTTTCTGTCTATCTCTCTCCCTCTCCCTTCCTCTCTCTGAAATCAATAAAGGTGTATATATTTTTAAAAAAATTTTTAAAACCAACAAAAAACTTCAGACGATGCAGAGTGCACACAGTAGGTGGTACCATTTCTCAGTAGTAAAGGCAGTTAGTAGGTACCAGCAGCACTGGGGCCGGCACCTGGGGTCCTGGTCCTTGGTCCCTGGTCCCAGCTCTTTGTCCTTTGTATATTAGTCTTTACAACAGCTGGGGACTGGTGCTGTTGTCCGTTTTCATGGGTCACAGTGGTGAAGCTGAGATGGTGGTGGTAGCTCAGCACTCAGGCCACCTCGAGAGGTGGAATTTCCATAGCGGTTGACACAGTTCCTTCTGACAAGCCAGGCTGGTCTCTCTCCCCACCCACACGTGTTGTCAGCATTCTTTGCCCCTTGATAGGTGAATATTTACATTTACATTGTCTTAGTTACAGGCAGGGTGCTGACCATCTGCCACATAAAACCAGCAAGGCTGATGAGCTCCCGTGTGCCTCTGGAGCTCATCTTTGTTAGTGTTGGTTCGTGAGTTCCTAGCATAGACTGCCTGCTGCCCTGCGGCTGGTCCTGCTCCGCCTCCTGCAGTGTCTGTACGCACTTCCCTGAACGCCTTCATCACGTGTCCACGATTGCCCCTCCCCAGGAGCGGTTTCAGTTCCCGTCCCATGTCACAGATGTGTCTGAAGAGGCGAAGGACCTCATGCAGAGGCTGATCTGCAGCAGGGAGCGCCGGCTTGGCCAGAACGGCATTGAGGACTTCAAAAAGCACCCGTTTTTTCAAGGATTAAATTGGGAAAATATACGGAACCTGGAGGCACCTTATATTCCCGACGTTAGCAGCCCTTCGGACACATCCAACTTCGACGTGGACGACGATGTTCTGAGGAACATCGTAAGTGTGGCCTTTGCACCGCGCCGGCGCGTGCAGGGCAGGGGCTCACGGTGCTGCATGTCCACATGGGAATCTTGCAACTGCACTGGCTTGTGAAAAGTTAAGCAGTTGTCTCAAGAGAATCTCCTTTTAGCTTGGGCCTTAATTCTCTTATTTATTTTTAAAATACGTCTTTATTGATTTCACACAGAGGAAAGGAGAGGAAGAGAGAGAGAAACATCAATGATGAGAGTCGTTGATGGGCTGCCTCCTGCACGCCCCCTACTGGGGATCAAGCCCCAAACTGGCCATGTGTCCTGACCGGAAATCGAACTGTGATCTCCTGGACCTTAGGTCAATGCTCAACCACTGAGCCACGCCTGGGCTGGGCATTAATGTCCCTTTTTAAAATAATGGATTACGATTTGAGTGATGGTGAGTTAAATAGCTGTTTTGCCTTAGAATTTATCAGAAATACTTTTGCTTTTGTTTTTATGGTGCTTTGTACCTTTTCAAAGGTTACCGTATTAGAGCATCCCCGCAGGCTGGCACCTCTTCTAGGCTTAAGGCCTCTCGGTTCCTGTTCCTCCACTGTCCCTGTGCATGCGAGCATCTGTCTTCACGTAGCAGGAGTTCAGGGCGACGAGCAGGTTCTCCAAGTTGGGTCCTGGCCCTGGGACCCACCTGGAGTCTGAGCAGGTCTGACAGGCCTGACTTCTGCTCACATGTTGTACAGCTATTTTGGTCTTGTTAAATGCAGCCTCTTTACTCTTTGGTCCATATGTGTGTCCTGGTTTGGGGACAGAGTAGCTGAAGTTTAACCAAGGAAAGGGAGAAGTTGCTCCTTAACTTACTAGAATAAGAACAAAACTTCAGGCCACATGGAGAGAAGACAGAGAAAAGCACCCCATGGCTGAGAGGGTTTCCCTGGGTTCCAGAGAAACTGTCTCCACACTTCAGTTTCCCAGATAAATCACCACTTTGGTTTTATTAGGATTATCAGGCTGAAAAGTTGAGTTGTAACTAGTACTTGTCTATAGTAGTCTGCCCTTGGGCCCCAGACTCCGCTTTGCCTCCGGCCTCAGTTTCAGGCCACATGGATGCCATGGCTTTAAAAAGGGAAAGTTAGCCCGGCCGGGCGTGGCTCAGCGGTTGAGCGTCGACCTAGGATCCAGGCGATCGGGGTTTGATTTCCCGGTCAGGGCACATGCCCGGGTTGCGGGCTCCATCCCCAATCAGGGGCGTGCAGGAAGCGGCCGATCAATGANGGGCCTTAATTCTCTTATTTATTTTTAAAATACGTCTTTATTGATTTCACACAGAGGAAAGGAGAGGAAGAGAGAGAGAAACATCAATGATGAGAGTCGTTGATGGGCTGCCTCCTGCACGCCCCCTACTGGGGATCAAGCCCCAAACTGGCCATGTGTCCTGACCGGAAATCGAACTGTGATCTCCTGGACCTTAGGTCAATGCTCAACCACTGAGCCACGCCTGGGCTGGGCATTAATGTCCCTTTTTAAAATAATGGATTACGATTTGAGTGATGGTGAGTTAAATAGCTGTTTTGCCTTAGAATTTATCAGAAATACTTTTGCTTTTGTTTTTATGGTGCTTTGTACCTTTTCAAAGGTTACCGTATTAGAGCATCCCCGCAGGCTGGCACCTCTTCTAGGCTTAAGGCCTCTCGGTTCCTGTTCCTCCACTGTCCCTGTGCATGCGAGCATCTGTCTTCACGTAGCAGGAGTTCAGGGCGACGAGCAGGTTCTCCAAGTTGGGTCCTGGCCCTGGGACCCACCTGGAGTCTGAGCAGGTCTGACAGGCCTGACTTCTGCTCACATGTTGTACAGCTATTTTGGTCTTGTTAAATGCAGCCTCTTTACTCTTTGGTCCATATGTGTGTCCTGGTTTGGGGACAGAGTAGCTGAAGTTTAACCAAGGAAAGGGAGAAGTTGCTCCTTAACTTACTAGAATAAGAACAAAACTTCAGGCCACATGGAGAGAAGACAGAGAAAAGCACCCCATGGCTGAGAGGGTTTCCCTGGGTTCCAGAGAAACTGTCTCCACACTTCAGTTTCCCAGATAAATCACCACTTTGGTTTTATTAGGATTATCAGGCTGAAAAGTTGAGTTGTAACTAGTACTTGTCTATAGTAGTCTGCCCTTGGGCCCCAGACTCCGCTTTGCCTCCGGCCTCAGTTTCAGGCCACATGGATGCCATGGCTTTAAAAAGGGAAAGTTAGCCCGGCCGGGCGTGGCTCAGCGGTTGAGCGTCGACCTAGGATCCAGGCGATCGGGGTTTGATTTCCCGGTCAGGGCACATGCCCGGGTTGCGGGCTCCATCCCCAATCAGGGGCGTGCAGGAAGCGGCCGATCAATGACTCTCATCATGGATGTTTCTCTCTCTCTCTCTCCCCCTCTCCCTTCCTCTCTCTGAAATCAATAAAGATGTATTTAATAAATAAATACATAAAAATAAAAAGGGGAAGTTACTGGCCTGCTCCGAGTTTGGCTTGTGGCATTATCACCATCACAAGCAGTGTGTTTACCCTCTTAGCTGGGTTGGACATCACACAGATCCAGGAATGAGTGTCCCTGCCAGTGCCTAGCTCCTTGGGGGGGACACCAGGAGTCAATACTGTAGCAGCCCGACGGTCCTCCCCATGCACCCTCACTTTACCGTTGCCTTCTTCTCTCCTCTCCTGTGTCAGCACAGGTTCTCACTGTGTCATGTGTGCTCTTGTGCAGGAGATGTCACCTCCTGGTTCTCACACGGGCTTCTCTGGGCTGCACTTGCCCTTCATCGGGTTCACGTTCACCACGGAAAGGTACGTTGGCTCTGCCGTTCCCCAGGCAGAGGCTTCCTGGGAGGAACTGGAGTGTGGGCTCCTTTTTGCAGTGGGCATCAGAGCTCTGGGTGGCTGCACTTAGGGGAGCTATGGGTGACTCTGTCCTTTAAAAATGCACAAGGTAACAGGGCAGGTCACAGACTTTCCCAAAGAGCCTGATGGGAGATAACGTAGGCTTTGTGGTCTCTGCTGCATGTTGTTCTTTGTCTTTTCAACACCCCTTTAGCAATGTAAAACCATCCGCTCGTGGGGGCCATTGATTGTGACCCTAACCTGGAGGGCACCGCACTGGCACTGTTTGTTCTGATGGTGCCTCGTGGCCACAGCCTCACGCTCAACTGAGAGCTCTCTGTTGTTACAGTGCTCCGTGGCCTTTCAGGGATTGTAGCTGCAGCTCCAGCTTCTGTTAGGGCTGGAGCGCACTCCCTGCAGACCTGAGAGTGTGAGCCCTGGGCCGCCTTTGAGAAACCCTGCCAAGGGCCTTCTGTCAACACACCCATGTGCCAGTGTCCTGCACTCAATGGGGGACCCAAATCTTTACCTGCCTTACTGTCACACTAAAAGCAGGAGCTAAACAGTGTGAAACAGCCCAGGAAGGGAGCTCTGGGTGAGAGCGCCTCCTGCCTCCATCTGTGCCATGGTCCTGCTACAGGTCCAGCAGGCCTGTTTTGGCTGGATGACGGTGACTGGCTTTGGGATGCTGGTGAGACTGGAGTGGAAGGAACTCTCAGGTCACAGAGAAGAAGAGCCCCAGGGGGCTGAAGGGATGTCCCTAGTTAGTGACAGAACCAGGAAGCAGCTCGTGCTGCTCTGGCTGCGTCGCTGTCCTCCAGCCCCGTCCAGCGACTCCTCTGCACAGTCCGGCGAGGCCTTGCAGGCTGGGCTCCGCACACAGGGCACCTTCTCTTTGGTCTCGTTTGGTGTGAACTGTGATGTAGAAATTGCATTTCCCCTGATTTGCAGAGAGGTCTCTGTGACTAGCTCTGAGGTGTGTCCTTGTTGTCACCCAGTTACTGCAGAAAGGAAGACTCTTGTCTAATTCTGGCCCCATAAACAATAAAGTCTTTTCACAGGTATTTTTGTTTGCCAATTTAAGGAGACTTCTCTTTCACCCCAGGAAGTCTTTAAATGCTAATGAAGTCAGTGTAACTGCTCGGTAGATGAGAAACCCTGCTCTCGTTCGCAGCTGTTTTTCCGACCGGGGCTCTCTGAAGAGCATCATGCAGCCCAGCACACTGACCAAGGACGAGGGTGTGCGGCGGGACCTGGAGAGCAGCCTGCAGGCCGAAGCCTATGAGAGGAGGATCCGGAGGCTGGAGCAGGAGAAGCTGGAGCTCAGCAGGAAGCTGCAGGGTGAGTGGCATGACCCCTACAGCCTCGGGGTGCTTGCGCCGCCAGGGCCTGCACTCATGTCCGTCTCCCACCCCCAGAGTCCACCCAGACCGTCCAGTCCCTGCACGGCTCAGCACGGGCCCTGGGCAGCTCCGTCAGAGATAAAGAGATCAAAAGGCTGAACGAGGAGATCGAGCGCCTGAAGAGTAAGATAGCAGGTACATGCTTGAGGCCACTGCACAGTCTCTGCTCGCAGAGGGCATCCGTCTCTGCAGAGAAAATGTCAGTCCTTTCCATGATGTGCAGAAGCAGGAGAAAGCTCCAGTTCCAGCAAACCTGGTGGAGCTCCGGTGCTTTGTCAGTGTATTTGAAACCCTTTCCCCAGATGCTTAGTGCTAATATAATTTTATAGTTCTCACTAGAATCAGCGCCGAATGTTTCATCCATAGACTTGTAACATGTTGCCTCTCGGTCCTGGCTCTGCTCTCTGTAGCTGAGACAGAACTGCGCTGTGACTCCTTTCTCAAGCTTCAGCAGTGACGCCAGCTTTTCCGTGGTTTAGGTGCTGGATCTACTTCCCCAACTGTCTTTGTAGTGCCTAGGTTATCAGTTTTCTGAAGACTCAAGTCACTTTTATGTCTTAACCCCTGACCTGACACGGGTTGGCACTGCCACCGACTGGTCTCCAGGCAGCCCCGAGGCCATCAGCTTCTCCCCATTTCTACCTGGAACCTGCAGTCCTGACCCAGAAAAGGCTCTGTGGAGTCTGTTTTCAATAAAACCTGTTGCCTCTTTGGTTTCACTGTGCCAGCTGCCAGGTCAGCAAGGATAAGGCAGGAGGTGTGCGCTGCCCGAGGGCACAGTCACACGGTCAGACTGAGTCTTATGAGTCTGTCCTGGAGGCATGTGGCCTCCGGACACTGCTGTGTGTGTGGGAAAGTCAGAAGCCTCTGCGAGAGAGAGTGGTAAGAGTCATTTGTGTTCACGATCGGAAGTCAGGGAACAAAGTGTTGCCTGTGAGGGAACACAGTTTGTTTTCTCCTTTGCTCAGATTTAAACCGACTAGAGCGACACCTGGAGGACGCTGTAACACCCCGCTCGGAGCAGGAGGGCTCTGCGCTTCGGCTGCGAGGCCTGGAGAAGCAGTTCCGCGTGGTGCGGCAGGAGAAGGAGGACTTCCACAAGGTGGGGTGTGGCCTCCCAGCAGAGGGGAGGTTGGGTTTGTGCAGAGGCCTGGTCTGTGTGCTGGCTGCGTGGCCGCAGCTCACAGGAGCAGCCCTGTTTGCAGGGTCCTGCTGCACCTGTGACGTCAGCCCCCAGCGGCCAGCATGCTTCAGTCTGCATCCTCAGTGCCCCCCACCCCACCACCACCCCGTGGCCTCGTGTGGCAGCGGGGACGTGGCAGCTCAGGATGTGAGGGTTTCCCCGCATCTCGGGGTCCACGGGTACTGACCTCGCTGCTGTGCGCCTTCCCGCTGGTCCAGGCCGCCCCTTGGCAGCCGCCCCCTGGCAACCACTCCCCTTCCAGAGGTGACACTTAGCTACAGCAAGGCCCTGCAGAAGAGACCATGTTAAAATTTGGGTACTTACCCCAAATTCCTTTATCAGTTTGATTTTTCAGTAGATGTCAAACTACATGCAGAGGATTGCATGTGCGCTCAGGGTTGAGTTTTCTATAAAAATGTTCATTTAAACACTCAGGTCATTGAACCCGTGTTTGTGATCTGTTCTCCAAAACATGGGGATTTCAAACCCAGGTTGACTGATGGGCTCATTGTGGCTCACAGCACCCGCGTGCTTGGTCTGGCCGTGCACGGGGAGGCGCCCCACTGCTCCCACGCGGCAGAAAGCCCCTTGGAGCCATACGAGCCTGGTGCAGGCACTGCTGCCCTGCGCGGGAGCCACCCCAACCTGTTCAGGTCCCAAAGGTGCCACAGGGATGAGCATTCTGATTGTTGAGGGAGCAGCTGCAGGGAGGTAAGGTGCGTGTAGCCAGAGGGACAGCAGCCTCCGCACCTTAGACTCCAAGAAAGGGTCAGCTACCCAGCGCTTGTGTTCATAGCTCTTTACTTTGATCAGAATTTTGAGCATTTTCCTGTGTAATGTGTTCTTTCCAATTCCACTGTGTCTAGGTAATGGGATGAGTGACTAAAGTCACTACTGGTCCCTCTTTGTGGGTGTGCGGGTGGCATAGAGAGGTGGCTGCCGTGAGCAGGGGCGTGAAGCTGCCACTGCATGTGCTGGGAGGGCCTTTCTGGAGCGGAGTGCAGGTGCACTCCCGGGCCGCACGTGGCCGAGCGGGGACCGACAGGTGCACCCCCAAGTCCCATGTGGCCGAGCCAGGACACAGTGCTCGGTCCATGGTGAGCTCGGACTGTGCTGTAGTCTGTAAGCCCTACTTGTTGGAGCTCCCAGCCTTCCACATCTGTTACACCACCATCAAACACCTGTCATTCTTTGTGTTCAGCAACTGGTGGAAGCTTCAGAGCGCTTGAAGTCCCAGGCCAGGGAGCTCAAAGAGGCCCACCAGCAGCGGAAGTTGGCCCTGCAGGAGTTCTCGGAGCTCAACGAACGCATGGCGGAGCTCCGCTCCCAGAAGCAGAAGGTGTCGCGGCAGCTCCGTGACAGGGAGGAGGAGGTGGAGGGGGCCATGCAGAAGATCGACGCCATGCGGCAGGAGGCCCGCAAGTCCGAGAAGCTCAGGAAAGAGGTAGCCGGGACCTCCCGGGGCTGCACTGGCTGGACTTTGTATGAGCTTAACAGACTTCTTTAAACACTGGCTGCCTTGCATCAGTTACTTTAGGAGGATCCTGAACTTTATGTGAGGCCGAGTAGGCTGACCTGGAAAGCAATTGTTCTGTAGTTCTCAGCCCTCTCCGTGCACCTGTTAAGTTATTAAAAGAGGTTCTGGTAGTGCTGACTTTTTAAAAATTCCCTTTTAAAGTAAATGAGAGGGTATCTGTGCCCAACAAATGTAACAGATATGCTGTGATGGGATGCAGCTTGGTTTATGTGAACATGAGCACCTGCATCCATGCAGGCAGACAGCACAGAGGGCAGGTCTCGGCCCAGCATACCTCACGTCAGCTCTTAGGCCCATGGTCTTCACTCTTACAGGTTATTGGGGCCCTAAAGAGCTTTTGTCCATGTGGGTTGTAGCTCTTAACATTTACCAAGTTAGAAATGAAAAATGGGACTTTTTTCTCTGCCTGGCTTATTTTGTTTAGCATAATACTCTCCAGTTCCCTCCGTGCTATCCCAAAGGATATGAGATCCTTCTTCACAGCTGCGTAGTACTCCATGGTGTAAATGTCCCACAGCTTTTTATCCACTCGTCTACTGATGGGCACTTGGGCTGTTTCCAGATCTTAGCTATTGTAAACTGCACTGCTATGAACATAGGGGTGCATGTATTCTTTCTGATTGGTGTTTCGGGTTTCTTAGGATATATTTTTAGAAGTAGGATCACTGGGTCAAATGGCATTTCTATTTTTAATTTTTTGAGGAACCTCCCCACTGTTTTCCACAGTGGCTCCCCAGTCTGCATCCCCCTATTTGCTGTTTTGCAGCCCAGATGCGTCTGTAGTTATAGCCACTGTAACTCAGGTGAGAGGATCTCCCACGAGCACCACATTCCAGACCTGGGTGAAAGGGTGTGTCCTCTGGGACCCACGGTACCCACTGGGAGCAGCATGGGGCAGTGCTGTGTCCTCACTGCACCTCAGACTGTTCCCTCTCCTTTTGTGCGTGTTTGAAACTTTTTATTTAAGAAAGGAGTTCATGTCCTACAGGCCTCAGAGTACTTGTTTTCATAAGTCAGTGTTCTTTCCTGAAATTTCGTCAAATTATTGATTTAAATTATATTTTAAATTTGTTTTATTAACCAACTGTTCTAGTCAGCGTGAAGTGTGTTCTCAGTCTTTGCCTTATGATGGAGCCTGAGGAAGAGCGGAGAATTAGGCCTCTCAGGGTTTTGTGCACTGAGAGTCCTCATGGGGAAGGATTGCAGTGGCGCGTGGAGCTCGCTGAGTGTCACTGAACAGCACTGTTCCCCTTTTCCTAGCTGGAAGCTCAGCTCGAGGACGCCATGGCTGAGGCCTCCAAGGAGCGCAAGCTTCGCGAGCACAGTGAGAACTTCTCCAAGCAAATAGAAAGTGAGCTTGAGGCCCTCAAGGTAGAGCCTGCTTGGGGTCCTGGTTCTTACTAACTATTGTGGGGGCTCCTTCTGAGCAACGTGCTTGTCAGGCAGAAGGTCACACAGAGCAGCCTGCCTCTGTGACAGCTTCTGCGTGTACCGATGCGCCCACTCCTTCCTCTTCTTAGAGGGCAGCCTCGGGCAGTTTGTAGTAGCCCAGTGCACTAGCAGCTGTGCCTCTGTACCCTGCGTTTCTAAATTCACGGAGCCCACTTCCGGAAAATTCCTTAAAGCCCGTGCCCTGCTGCTGACATGGAGGAAACAGGCTGGTGGTTGTCCACGGCCAGAGGCGGCGATGGGGGCCAGGGGAGAGGACTGTAGCGGAAAGAGGGTGGTGAGGAGGCTGGGCTCCTGGGTAACCTCGTGTGACCCCAGGTCGTCCACCTGCTGAGCCGTGGTGAATGTCTTTGTCTGTGAATGGAGACAATGGAGCTTCTCCCCCTCACAGCCCACCTGGCCTCTGTGAATCTGCCACCTCTTCCCCAGCACGCATCCTCACGGTGTCTGTTCTTTCCATCCTTGCTGCCACCTGGTGGGCCAGGTGTCACGCTGCACCCCTCTGCCCCTGCGTTTGTCGTGTTACCTTGCAGTAGGTCTTGTTGCTTGCTTGCTGGTGTGTCGTCCATCTTCCCCACCCTGCTCCATGAGAGCAGAGATGCCATGTGGCCCTGTCACCACAGGGGCCTGGCACAGGGTCGGCCTTCGGAACACGAAGCGGGAATAATGGTAAAGGGAGGAGACCTGGAAGACCAGTCATGTCACAGTGTGACACAGCCCCTGGGTCCCAGATAGGAGATCTGGGCACATCCCTCCTGCAGGGCAGATACTGTCACCCTCAAAGCCTGCCTTGCCTTAGGACCATGTGACCAAGATCAGCTGTGTCCCTTGGGACCGTGCCTGTCGTTGGGAGGGCAAAGGAAGCAGCGTTCCAAGTGCCTGCACGTGGGAGGGTGGCAGACAGGGTGACCCTGAGGGAGGGCACTGGGGTGTGTAACCCACTTCAACCTTCATCTTCAGACAAAGCAAGGAGGCCGGGGACCAGGTGCCTCCTTAGAGCATCAGCAGGAGATTTCCAAAATAAAATCTGAGCTTGAGAAGAAAGTCTTGTTTTATGAAGAGGAACTGGTGCGGCGTGAGGCCTCCCATGTGCTCGAAGTGAAGACTGTGAAAAAGGAGGTACAGGACTCCGAGAGCCATCAGCTGGCCCTGCAGAAGGAAATCTTAATGTTGAAAGATAAATTGGAGAAGTCAAAGCGAGAACGGTAAGTTATCCCGAGCTCCTCCATGTAGAAGACGCAGGCTTGTGCCTGGGCCGTAGGCCAGAGGATGGGCAAAGGCAGGGTCTGACCCTCCCTCTCCTCCGCTCCCTCAGGCACAGTGAGGTGGAGGAGGCAGTGGGCACCGTGAAAGACAAATATGAGCGAGAAAGAGCAGTGCTGTTTGAGGACAACAAGAAGCTGGCTGCTGAGAAGGAAAGGGTAAGTCAGACCTCGGATCACTTCCAGGAAGCTGTGATTTTCACCCACGGGTGTTGCAAGTTTGGTATTTTAAGTATTTTTATTTTTAAATGAAGTGATATGTTTGATCTCTTAAATGGGATGTTTGTATTTGGTTAAAAGTTGCTAATTACTAAAATCACTGGCTCTTGATTACTTATATGTTCAGATTTGCACTGAAATGTGACTTGAGTTAGATGCAGTCAAGAGTCCACATCCTGAACTTAGTTTGAAAAAACCTTATAACGATTAAAGAGAACTTTCGAAGTCTTCAAAAGAACTTGTAATTTTAATAATGCTAATAATAGGCACCAAATAACGTGTGTGGTACAATTGTTTAATTTCAGCTTTGCTCCTTTGTGGATAAACTCACAGCTCAAAATAGGCAGCTGGAGGACGAGCTGCAGGACCTGGCCGCCAAGAAGGAGTCCGTGGCCCACTGGGAAGCTCAGATTGCAGAGATCATCCAGTGGTACGTGTGGCCCGGCCCGGAGGTGCTGCTCAGCCCAGGTGTAGCCCGGCCCAGAGGTGTGGCCCAGCTCAGAGGCGCAGCCAGGCCCAGGGTGGTTTTTCTAGCTCCTGTCACTGCTCCTGTGACTGTCACTTACACCTCGTGCTGTTTCTCTGATGTCTAGTTGCAGCTCTCCCCACTGTGTCCCCCAAGTCGCTCATGTCTGGGGGCAGTAGTTCTCTCTAGTGGCCATCACACTGAACTAAAGGTGGAGAAACAGCGCCACCAGGTCACTAAAGGTGTGGGTCAAGCTGAGCAGGGACACATGCTCTCCGTGAAGTGGAGGCACAGCTTCCACAAAACGCAGGGACAGGAGACCAAAGGAGCAGGTGGTGGGGACCAGCCTCTGCCCAATGGGCATTCTTTTGTCATGGGTGACTGGTGTCGAGTGATAGGGTGCTGGGTCCCGTGTCCTGAGGGAGGCAGGACACATTTGTGCTCTCTGGCTCCTGGCACTCACGGGCCATGCTCCCTCCTGCAGGGTCAGCGATGAGAAAGATGCGCGGGGTTATCTTCAAGCTCTCGCTTCTAAGATGACCGAAGAGCTTGAGACTTTGAGGAGCTCCAGTCTGGGGTCAAGAACACTGGTAGGTTTTACCCTAAAGCCCACATTTTTGTCACGGGATTCATCGATGGCTTAGCAGTTAAGTATTGCTCGGGTCACTCCTGCAGAAAAGGCAGCCCCACCTGAGGAGCACCAGCATTGTGTCCATTCCAGGAGACCAGGCTCTTTCGTACCGTTCACTAGGTTAGCCGTGATTATTGAGTGCCAGCTCTGTGAAGAAATCAGCATTGGCCCCGTAACTGGAAAACGTCACTTTTAGATTCTAGATTGTGAACACCGATTAGGATGATCAGTAAATTTCACTTCGCCTCTCCTCTCTCAGTCCGTGTTGTGCACACAGCCTGCGGAGCTGTGCTGCTCGAATCTGCACAGACCCAGTGGAGGGCGGGAGAATCCTGCCACAGGCCTTTCAGCCAAGTGGGGCTTTGAGATGCTTGTTGCAGAGAACTGTGTAAATGGTTCATATAGGACAAATGGGATGAGATAGATGTTAGGGTTTTTCCCCCTGAGAGGTATATTGTTCACGTATGGATTCTGCAGACACACTGAGTCAGATGTAAGAAAATAAGTAACTGATCCCGCAGTGCACCTTAGGTGTGTAAGAGTCCAGTGGGTCTGCAGAGAAATTACAGTGTAGGGCCCATTTTATTCTTTTTAAAAATTAAAAAGTGAATTCTTTAGAACCCTTAAGAAAGAATAAAGGCCATAAAATTGGGTGTAATGGACTGTGGTAACATCTGAGAGGTAACCTTTAAAAGTGATACAAGTTTAAGGTTAGAAAAAGGTGAATTGCTTATTTATTAGCATTGAGTTTGTTAAGTTAGTAGCTTAAAATGTGTTTTTAATATTTGAACCATGGTATACAGGACCCCCTGTGGAAAGTTCGCCGTAGCCAGAAGCTGGACATGTCTGCACGGCTGGAGCTGCAGTCTGCTCTCGAGGCCGAGATCCGGGCCAAGCAGCTCGTTCAGGAGGAGCTGCGGAAAGTCAAGGACACAAACCTCTCCTTTGAAAGGTGCTTGTCGTGCGTCTGGCTCTTTTTGGAGCTGGGCATCCACGTGTCCTCGGGCATGCCCAAGCTGTTCCTGCGGCCAGCACTCTTCCTGTCCCCTTTACAGATGATGGGACTGAGGTGCGGGCAGGGGTCACTCACTAAATAAGTGCAGAGCCAGGGCTGACGGCAGATCCCCCCAGTGCTGGGCTACCTGCTCACCTCCTGGCCAGGTGTTACCTGCAGCAGCCTGGCTTTGCTCTGTCCCCGCCATGCTCAGGCAGCTGGTAGCCCACCACACTGACGGGTCTGAGGTCTGTGTCACCTGGGCTGTGTGTCCTTAGAGGACAGAGGACTCATCCGCAAAGAGCTCAGGAATGTCCACGATGCCATTAGGGTTTTATGAGACACACACTCTCAGCCGTGGTTTTTAACATCCACGTTTGTAATGCTGAAATACTGTGCTGTCCATACCGTGCATGGAGGGGCTGACCCTGCAAGAGCGGGCCCTGGGTCTGTCCCACGGTGTTGGCGGAGCACTGCCCTGTTCTGGCACTTTCCCTGGAGATCAGCCCCTGCCCCACATCCTCATGCTCTGAACCGGCCCGTAGACGACCTGTTCTCTGTGCACTAAAGCCATTTATTTCTTCTTTTAGTAAACTAAAGGATTCAGAAGCCAAAAATAGAGAATTATTAGAAGAAATTGAAATTTTGAAGAAGAAGATGGAAGAAAAATTTAAAGCAGATACTGGTAAGTTAAAATGATAAGTTTTCACATTTTTAAAATATAAGCCTTTTTTAATGAAGATTTAAAAGATTTTATTTTAGATTTAATATTTTTTAGGTTTAGTAGCTTTTAATTATATAAAGAAAACAATCATTCCAGAGCCAAGCGGCCTGTTCCCCAAAGTTACCACAGCTCTTGGTTGGTCCCCCCTTTGTCTCATCCTGAAAATACAGAGCAGGCGAGTGGGAGTGTCGTTCGACATCCTCCCCCATGACACAGGCTGCTCCGTCTGCCCCGGCAGCTGGGCGTCCTGTTCCATCCTCACTGTCACAGAACCCGCTGCCCTGCACAGCTGCGTGTGCACCGCATTTCATCTTCCCATCCGTGTGTTTTGGGGATGGATGCCCAGAGTGACTGCCATCCGAGGGTCAGCGTGCACACCTTCTGCTAGGTGTTTCTGGCCTCTGCTGCAGACACTGGCACGTTTGTGTCCGCGCACAGCGCAGGCCGGGGCCCTGACCACAGTCTCCCCACAACATGTGGTCTCACACTCTGGGTCAGCGAGAAGCAGCAGCACGGCCTAGAATGGGTTTGCGTTTTTCTTCTTATGAGCAAGATTGAGCATCTGTTCATATGCTTAAGGGCTGTTTGTAGTTCTTATTCTGTGATTTATATATTTGTTATATCTTTTGCCCATTTTAAAAAACATAAGTTGTGAAGCTTTTTATATATGGAGGATTAGAGACTTTAGTTTGTGACAGAGTTGCAGATATTTTCCCTTTTACTTGACTCTTTTGCCAGGCATAAGGGTTTTAAAATTTTGTGTGTGTCAAATTTGTCAGTTTCCCGTTATTGGTTGTTTTTTTGTTGGTGGTTTTTTCTCTTTTTTCAGAGAGGAGAGGGGAGAGAGAGAAACATCAATGAGAGAAACATCGGTAGGCTGCCTCCTGCAGGCCCCTGCTGGGGTCGAGCCCGACGCCTGGCCATCTGCCCTGACCGGGAGTCGAACCCTGACATCCTGGTTCGTGGGTCGACGCTCAACCACTAAGCCACCGGCCGGGCAGTTTTACCCCTTTTTGAGTCATGGGGAGATAGTCCCACATCCCCGGTTCAGTAATTCACCCGTGTTTTCCTCTAATACACGTATGTTCCATTGTTTAAAGTTTAGTTACTGATCTGTTCAGAGTTTGTGGTGAGGTGCAGTCTGAGGAGTGGACCCAGTTTTACCTTTTTTCCGTGGCTCCTTAGTAATTCTGTACCAGTTGTTAAGTTCCTGTTCCTACTGATTTCCTATTACTCTAATTATGTGTGAGATTGCCCTGGGCACCTGATCTGCATCTGGATTTTCTACCCTGCTTGTTGTTCATGGGCCAGAACCTCTCATGGGTCTGTTTTAATAGCTGCTGGGTCACTTTCCCCACCCTTTTTCTTCAGAGACTTCTGAGATGGTCTTCCCTGTGTACTACCCAAGGTGAACTTTTTATTTACTGTTCCGCTCTGGGGAAAGTCTCATGGTATTTTTAGTGGCCCCACACAAAGCTTATCCGTTAATTGAGGGAGAGTTGGCATCTCGATGACACGGAGTCTTCCTGTCTAAGCATAAGATACAGTCTTATGCCTTGTTTCTTTCTTACAGGACTCAAACTTCCAGATTTTCAGGATTCTATTTTTGAGTATTTCAACACTGCACCTCTTGCACACGACCTGACATTTAGAGTAAGTAACTATTTTTAAAAAGTGAAAAGTTAATTGATGGTAAGTTAGAAATAGTGTAATGTGATTTGACTGCCTTTGGGGCCTGGACACACCAGTCAGTTAACATCTGAAAGCACGTCTCTTTAATGGGACTCTGAGGTATTGGTTGTTTTTGTTGGTTTCCCAACCTTTTATTTAGAAACCTTTAAACCTGCAGCAGGGTTGGAAGATCAGCATGATGAGCACACGAATCTCACCTGGCATTTTGCCCCATGTGCATCTTCTCTCTCACCCTTTATACCCACACTTTTCCCCAAACTGTTTGAAAGTGAGTTGTAGGCATCAGTGACCCCAGAATACTTCAGAGTTCATGTCCTGTGGTTAGGCCGTGCCCCCACATAACTGCAAGGACAGGCTGGGAATCGAACCTGCAAGCTGGGTATGTGCCCTTCACTGGAATCAAACCTGGGACCCTTCGGCACATGAGCCAATGCTCTAGCCACTGGGCCACACTGGCCAGGGCCTGAAGTGTCCTCAGTTTTTAAGAGGCACGTCTGTAGCCTTGGTCATCATGTGTCGTCATGACCTGTTGCAGTTGCCCTCCTTTTCCATCAGTGCAGCACCAGACACTGTGTGGTGTCAGGAGAGCAGATCCCAGAGGATCTAAGGCTGATTGTTAATGGGGTGGAGGTGGCCTGGAAAGTGGCAGCCTCTCCATGAAATTGGTGGACAGAGCAGCTGTACCTGGCATGTGGTTCCCGGCTCAGACCCTCCCTCGCTGGTCTGCGCTAGATCACTTCAGCCTGGACGTGGAGGCCGTGGCCTTTGTGCCTTGTCCTCTGTGGCCGGCACACCTACGTTTAGTGGTTAATTTCCACCGTCCTCGATTCCTCTGGTGGGCGTAGAAAGGACTTTTACTTACGGGGAAAATCCTGGTCCGAGTCTGGGTCTGTTAGGTGGTCCCAGACCCCAGAGTCGTCTTGTAGAGCCTGACTCCCTCTGCCCACGTTTCACATGCTGTTTCGTCAAGTTTCCAGGCAGGTTTTCGCTGGGTGGGGTGATTGTTCTGTTCTCCTGTCTGTCTCCTCCCTGCCTCTCACTGGTGCCAGGCAGCCGCTCAGTGGGGACCTCCTCCCTCAGTTCACATCCTTCTGATCAGTAACAACTAAGGGAAACCAGTGGGGCTGTTACGTGGTGACAGTTAAGTTACTGTTCTTTTGCTCTTCATTTGTCTAAAGATGGAGCTCTGACTTAATTAACATCCCGTTTCTGGAGAGCCGCGCTTACCTTTGTGGCCGTGGTCACTAGCTCACCAACCCAGCCTTTCTTTCCCTTGTGAGTTTTCTGCGAATGCGGAGATGGCGGCACGGCTGTGTGTGCTGAGTGCTCCCGCCTGTCCGGTCGGGAGGGCTCCTCCCACAGCAGCCTGGTGGCTGCAGCTGCTGCAAAGTGTTTTTCTGACCGGGCTCTGGGTTCCCGTGTGAAAGACCAGGTGCAGCTGCTCCTGTAGGGGCCTCCTGGCTCGGCTTGTCTGTGTCCTGGCGTGCTGCTTCCTTGTGCTAGCGCTTACGACGTTTCCGTGCACGTGAATGGTGTGCGCATCTGTGGACAGAGTTACAGTATAGCCTTTGGTGGGGAAATACTAGTTTCAGGACGCTCACTAAAATGAGGTCTTAATGGTTTTAGAATGCAGCTTTAACTTCAAATTAGCTTCAAAGTTTTAGCTTCAATTTCAAATTACAGAATTCATTTGGGAATCTTGAGTTGTTAGAACAAAACGTTGCTTCCCTGTGTATAAACCTTTCAGGGGAATTCTTACTTCTGGCCATAGGCCCATAGACCTCTGTTGATGTTAGAATTTTTCCTGGTCCCTGAAATGAGGTTAGGAAGCATCGGGCTACGGCTACAAGGTGCAGAGATTCGCTTTGGAAGGACATCAGAGGGCTGCATTTTCCATTCCTGTTCTTTGGGGGGGG